AAACTGTTTGATCTTAACATCTTACTTTGTATACATGTATTTATAATATTTCCTAATTTTTCACAAATAATAGAATCAAAATTAAAATCAATCGATAAATTTTCTTCATCTAGTAAAATATCTAAAGAAGTAATAAATGGTTTGTTATATTTTTGTTTAATCCATTTTGGAAGTTTCTTAAAATTAATTGATTTTTTAAACTCTTTCTTTAAAAATATTTGTGTTTTGTCTTAATCTGATATATAAATAAAATATTTGCTAATTTAATTATTAGAAATAAAATTTCAGGTTTTTCTAAATATAAATGCAGTTTAAATTTGAATTTGCTATATTTAATAAATAAATCAATCATATATTGATTTGGATTAGAAGAACTTAGAATTTCTTCACATATTTTGTTATTATTTAAAATTTTTAACTTTTGATAATAAAGAAATATTATATCAATAATTTGAATAAATTTTTTATATAGTTCTAAATCATCTTTTACTGGAATAAATTCATCTGACTGATTTAAAAGATCAACTAAATCCCAAATATTCTTTTTTGATTTTCGCCAAGACTGGACATTTAATTGAATATCTGAGAATTTTGTATGACTTAAGCTTCAGTTTTTTTAATTGTCCAAATATTCTTTATGTTATACATATGCTTTTCTAATATAATATCTGTCTGATTTGCTTAATTTTTTAAGTTCTTCTTCACTTAAATAACGTGTAGTTATTGTGAAAAAAATTATTTAATAAAGTTCATTTTAGTTATATATATATTTATTTAATTATTTAAGAATCTTCTAGAACAATAGATGAAATTTCTGTTGAATATAAAACAATTAATGTTTTTCAACAACAAATAGAAGATTTGATTAAAGAAAATGATGAATTAAAAACAAAAAATGAGAAATTAACTGAAGCAGCAGAACAAATTAAGAATTTGATTAAAGAAAATAATAAATTAAAAACAAAAAATGAGGAATTAACTGAAGCAGCAAAACAAATTAAGAATTTGATTAAAGAAAATAATGAATTAAAACAAAAAAATAAAGAATTATCAAAATTAAATCAAAGATTAGAAAAAATAAATGATGCGTAAAATTTATTATTAAGAGATGCAATTGATAAAGCTGAGTTCTACAAGGCTAAAAATTTTCAAGAATTTGATACTTTTATTTATAATTGTATATTTGGATTATTTGATTGGGTTTTAAATTTTGGATTATATCAAATTTGAAGATTATTCTTTGAAAAATATTTTTAATTTTTTAAATTTGAAAGAAAGAATTATTAATAATTATTATATACAAATCATTTATAAAAAATTTATTAGAGCAATTTTAGTTTTTTCTTATTTTTTTATTACAGAATATAGTGTTCGAGTTAAAATTTTAGAATTAGTATTTGTAAATATCATTACAATGTATTTTTCTTTATATTTAATTTTTTTTGTTTTAAACAAAATAAATTTAAATGATCTGATTGCAATTCTTATTATTTAATTATTTTTGCAAAAATAAGTTTCTTTTTTATCATTATTTGTAATAATAATATTAAAATCATTTTTTTCTTCTAAATTATTTTCTTCAATAAAGCTAAATAATTTTAAATTTAATAACTTGATTAATTTTTTTTATCATCTTCAAATAAAATTTTATCTATATGAATTCTTTTTTTTAACTCTAAAGAAACTCAAAATCTTTTGCTAGACGAATTAATTCAATAAAACTAAAATAAGAAAATTTACTTGTACGAAAATTATATAAATTAGTTTTATATTTAAATTTTAAATTTGACTGTTTTATTAAATTAAAATTTTCTCCTATATTTAATGAAGTTAATAATTGATAATTTTCAAATTTTGTTTTTTTAATTATATTTTCAATTTTATGATATTCTTCAAGAAAAGATATATATTTCTATATTAATTCAGTATTTGTTTTTGAAATTTTGTTTGATTTTACTTCTTTGTCATTAAAACATCTGTAGTATACAAGAATTTGGTTGATTAATAAAAATAAAATTAATAATTTTTGAGCCAACATTTTATTTTTATTATAAAAATAGATAACAATTGTTTTTATATATATTTTTTAAAAAAAAATAATTTAAAATTTGTTAAGCTACAACAAGCCACAATTTTTAATTTTAATTTTTAAAATAATTTTATTATTAAAATAAGAAAAATACAATATGAAAATAATAATTTTTAATAAATTAATAATTTTTAAAACTAAAAACAATTTAAAAAAGAAAAAAATTATAGTAAAATAAAAAATACTAATAAATTTTAATAGTTTTTATAGATTGTTAAAAGCTGAGTAATATTCATTTTTACCAGCTTTTCTTGTTTTTTAAGAGAAAAACTCTTTTTTCTAATAATAAAATTTGAGTTTCATGATTAGTGATTTGATTCATCTAAAAAACCTTCATCCAGATCACCCGTCAGGTGAACAATAAGTCACTTGAATAAAAATCGAGTTAACTTAAAAATATCACCTACCTGGGTCACCTGATAGGTGACCCATTAGTTTATCTAGTTAGTATAAAATACCACCCAGGTAGTAATATGACAAATTATAACTCTTCAAATTCTAGATACCTAATAAAAATGATTTTTGACTGATTTGATTAATTTATTGATTTCAGCATAATTGGTATATATTTTTAGATATAATACTTCAGGATTAGAACGATACAGCTAAAATCAGGATAATGTTATGAAATGTCTAGTTGACCAGTTTATAGAGCTATTGGGATAATATCAGATAATAAGAATTAAAACAAGCAGAATAAGATTGAAGTTTGTTCCTATAGAACAAATCAGCATGCAGATTATCAATAGGAATATATAGATCACATGATTTTGAGGATATAGTCTTGGTCTAGTAAAGAAGAGTTCAGATATGGTTGTAGTGCCCAGACCTGTACGATTACATAAAATGCATAATAAATTAATGTAACTAGTACAAATAATAATATTGATTAATAAACTATATTAACATTAAATCAAAATTTAATCGCTATTAGTATGTTTATCTTTCCCAATTTTTATTTGTATTGATATATATTGTATAATCAGAATTTTTTATATGTATCATATAAAAATACATTCTAGATATGGTATATAAAAAATTTTACTATATAATTTCGGTATAGCCAGCTTACAAAAATAATAAATACACACAAAAAAGAATTTGTCACATTTAAAAACATCTAGAAAGATATGCAATATACATATATACATACATAATAAATTGATATTTATTATAATATGCAAATAAATTATTAGCGAAACTATATTATCATTATATTTTGAATAATAATTAGAGTAATTTAATCTTATCTTTTTATCTTGACCTTTATTAGAGATATAGTATGAACTTCAGCCATATATAATTAATAAAATGATAATACTTATATATTCATACATATTATCAACCTACTATTTAACCCAAAGTTACTAACATTTTAACTTTATGATATTTAGATTATATAAAATATGAATATTAGTACAAACTTATTATTATTATAATACCCTGATCACTATATCAAGATCACAGAAGTATTAATTAATAATACCCTGACTATATGTAAATAAGCAAAAACTCTGTTTCTGCTAATTCTCAATAAATCAAAATATTATTATTACTAATAGTATGTCAAATGGTATGCATAAAATTCTTTAAGTTAAATCTTACATGTAATGTCTCAATCCAACATTTAAAACTTATATATGATTAATATAACTAGTATTATCATTAAATGATAAAAAAATCTGCTTATAAATAATATTCTTGGGTAATGATTATTTTTGATTATTTTTGCACAGTAAGTATAGAAGCTAGAAATGGGTTTTACAATGATTTTTTGTAAGTGAAATATTACATTTCCAAAAAATATCTTAAACTATATAAATAAGTTTATCCAGGCAATTGATTTATATCAACCAATTATACAAATATCTCTCTATGAACCCACAGGTTAACCCATAGTCAACCCGCAGATTGACCCACAGGTTAACCTGTAGATTAACCTACAGATTAACTTGTGGGTTGGCTACCCGGGTTGTTATAACTCAACCCAGGTGATCTACCTATCTGTGAGTAACCCGAGTAAGACTTGCCCAGGTCAAAACACTATTTATGATTTTTAACAACAAAATTTGGTTTTTTAATTTTATCTTCATATTTTGTAGGCTTAACAAAAATACAATCAAGACCTTTTTTATTACAATGTTGACAAATGCTAGAGTTTTTAATAGATTTTTTGCATCTAATATTTTGACTTCAATATTCAAAACACTTCATCTTTGGGGTTTGATTAGATTTTTTTGAAATTGATATTATTTTGAGAGATTTTGTTTAAAAATAACAAGATTTATTGAATATTTATATATTTTTAAAGAAATTTAAATTGAAAATTATAAATAATATTATATTTATAAAATACAAAAAATAAAATAAATAAATTATAATTTTCTAATAAGACTTTTTAAACTATGAAATTGTGATAAATTTCTATTTTTTTTTTCAAATTTTTCAAATATAATTTTTCACCAATATCAAGATCTGTTTCTTTAATAAATTCAAAGTTATTTTCAATTATAATAGATTCTTTTTTATTGAGTAATTCTTGATAATTTTGTTGAATTTGAAGTTGTTTATTATCAATTTTATTATTTTGTAAAATCTGATTTTGGTTTTGTTTTATTGATTCATTTTCTCAAAATTTGCTTTTTTCAATTTTCTTATATAGTCAAAGTTATCAGAATTTAAATTAGAATCATAATTAGATTCATCAATTGATAATTTTTTTTTTTACTATTTGATTCTTCTTGAATTGTAATTACTTTACAATCTTTACTTAAAGCAACTAATATTCATTCTCCAGGGTCAGATTTTTCAATTTTAGTGATAATTCTATCTGTAATATCATCTAAACTTTCAATTGTTAAGTTTTTATTAATATCATTAATCCATTCTTGCTTTTAATAATATAATTCAGTTTTATTATCTTGATAAATTTTTCTTCAAATCCTAAATCTAATATTATTTTTTTAACTTGTTCTAGTATTGTTCTATAATTGAATTCTATTTCAAAATTTCTATTATTAAAATCTTCTTTATTTTCTTTTTCAAATATTCATAATATATCTCCATTTCCTTCTTCATTAATAGAATCTTCTTTAAATTTAATTATATATCGAAATCTTCGAATTAAAGCATCAATATCAGCAGATGAATTTTCTTCTCTTAATTTTTTATAAAGATTTTGAATTGGCCTATTTGCTATAAAACAAATATATATAGCAACTATATTTGGTTTACTGTATTTTATATTCATTTGACAATATTTTTTGTCTGTTAATCTTAATAAATTTATTCAAGATAAATATTTATAGTAATTATCTAATAAAATTGCTATATCTCTATCATAATCGATGTTATGATCATTATATTTTTTCCAAGTTTTCATCTCATCTTTTTTGTACATACCAAAAAATAAATCTGTACAAATTTTACTTTTTCTAGTTCCAGGATCACCATAAATATAAAATAAGCAAGGCTTCCAACAACAATCTATTTTTTCTAAAGGATTTTTCATTTGTTTTTCTCTGGCTTTAGCAATTTTATGTAAATCTTGAACTAAATGCCTCTATTTTTTGTACTTTGTAGCATATTTAACTATTATTTTATCAATATCCTCACTATCTAAAACTTCTTTAATTGCTTCTTGATAATTATTTTCATCTTTATCTTCAGATTTAGATTCTTTTTTAAATTTAGATTCTATTATTTGTGAAAAATTAGGAAATATTATAAATACATGTATACAAAGTAAGATGTTAAGATCAAACAGTTT